GGTCATTAAATTGTTTACTCGTCATTAAATTAGTTAGCGAATGAATTCATTAGTTTATCGTCATTCTTCTGAATTCAAATTGCTCAATTTATAATAATTTCTTTACTTCCTCTATTACCGAAATCAAAAGTCCTCGAAAGTTTATCAATACATTTCTTCAATTGCTACTTCTCGCCAATTCTAGTAACTTTCTCCTCATCGTCAAACTAGTATTAACGTCAGTGAAGATGCCTAAAATGTAGTATTAAGTAACACAGATATTGCCGCTATAAGCGCTGTGGTAATTAGAATCTATTTTACCGTTATGTGTACTGAAGTAATAGCTCGTTTACCGCCTTCTGAAACGGATAAGTACCCTATTATCATAATACTAAACAATCCGGACATCTAATACATAGTCTTTATTTTTTTGTTGTTGTTTTATGTATATTTCGAGCGGCCTCATGCTATTAGATTTATCATAATATGAGTCTGAATTTAAACTCACCAAAAGAAAGATTACCTATACGTAAGTGTCGTTTGGTATGTGATATTCATAATTTATTGTAATTTTTCCATGGCTTAAAAAAATAGATAATTTCAACTTCAATTTATTACTTCTTGTTGAGTTTGATCATATACACACGATTTCAAAAACTAATTAACATTATAAGAAAAACTTGTTTTCATATACCTTTCAAAATATGAATTCGGTATTAAAGTTGATTTTACTTGTGATAGTCCAATGTAGGAAACCAAAGTCAAAACTATTTCTTGCTTGATTAGAGCTGCAAGCTATAAAATCATTAATATTTTGAAATATTTATCAAATCCAATGGTAAACTCTTTCTTTAGGACGTAACACTTGAACCCGTGGTCAAAGGGAGTTTTAAAGTCAGCAGTTAGGTCTACAGTGTCTTCGGTTTCGGATCGGTTCAGAATTGTGGATTTGTGTAAGGTATATATACACAAGCATTCTACCTTATTTAAATGCATAAGTATCAAACCAAAAAAACGGATCAAGTAATGTTAAGTAATAAACAGAAGTGAATTATTATCCTACTAAAACTACTTTAAGCATGATAAATGGCCATATTCGCTCATTTTTTTAAATTTAGTTTTCCAATAATTGAATATTTCCACATTAACATAATCAAAACGTTCGACGTTTTTATTCGAACGCGTAAAAAAGCTTAAAATCTTCCAGTCACTGTCAAAATAAAAATATTACTACCTTATTTAAATACATAAATAAATATATAATATATTCTACTAAAAATAAAATACTCTATTTTATTTAAATTTTCATATGTATGAATTAACAAATAAAAAAAAACACAGATTAAGCAATGAACAGAAGTCAATTGTTGTCCTACTAAAACTACTTTAAACATGATAAATGGCCTTATTCACGCGTTTTTTTTCTTTATTAAGATTTCTAATAATTGAATATTTCCACATTAACATAATCAAAACTTTCGACATTTTTAATGGAATGGGTAAAAAAACTTAAAAACTTCCAGTCAGAATCATAATAGAAATATTTTCCATTTAGCAGAAAATAGTTACTTGTATTATTGTCTTACACAAAAAGAATGCCTCCCAGCAAATCTTCCAGTTCGAAAAAGACTGAGATATTGTTTATTGACTTCTTCCTTTCTATAGTGTTTGTCAAATCGAAAAGGAATGACTCTATTCCATGAAGACAGCCAATCCATCTTTCCTCAATGGAAGAAAAGACAAGATATACTTTATTTTGAAAAACATGGTCTGACATTTATTTATTTATTTATACTACTGGCAAGTGTTCACCAATGAGATTGAAATCTTACAAAAACAATATTTTGTTAAGACACGTAAACAAGAAAATATTTTTTGTCTAATTTTTTAAGAATGCAAGCAAAGCTTTAACATAGATAAACTGAACATTTTTTATTATTACTATTGCTTGTATTAATTCGCTTTCGTGTTTGGAGCTATGCAATCTTGTAATAAAAATTTTGCCAATTTTCCAAATAACTGGAATGCTCTTATTTCAATTGATGCCCTACGATCTAAGATAAAGCCAATTTTAATCGTTTTCTGATCTTTAAAAGCTGAATGAATTTGTCGTCATTTTATAATCAAATTGAAATAATCTAATTGAAAATTCAAAACTCTTTAAGAATTTGACTTAAATATTGCAATACAACTTTGCATCTAATTTTCCGACTAACTAAAAGCTTCAATTTGTAGCTGTTACACAAAACTTGGTGAAAATATAAAGTTATGTTGTTTTCCAATAACTGGAAAAGGAATTTATCATTATATTATTTTGAATATTTCTAATGGCAATATAAGTTTAAATGGTATCCTGATCATTACTAACAGAATTTATAGTCTTTCGAAATTTCAAAAGCTCACTGACTAGTTAGATTGCTCAAATTTCCACCAGAGCTTTGTGCTTTATTCTAAAACCAGTTAGCAAACTAAACCTTTCGCACTATTATTGCCGTAATAGAAATATCGACTACTATTAATAAACAAACTGAAAAGCAGAAAGCAAAAAAAAAAATTAAAGATTATATAGAAATAAAATTTTAATAAAATAAAATAATAATAAATTTTAATGATTTTAATAATTTTTTAAGTAAAGAAAAAGGGAATAAATCATTTAAAAATTTTGTTTTTGTCAGACCAAAAGCGGAAATACATCACTCCCATAACCCTTATGCTAAACTCTTATCCCCACTGAAAATTTCCTCACGTCTTTTGAAAGCAATGCGTCCTACCTGCTTCGTTTCACAAAAACATAATTATTTTCTCTTCCTTTTAAGTTCACCTGAAAAACTTAGTTTTTATTAATTTTTTATTTAGTATTAGGAATTTTAAATACATTTACATTATATAGCTAAAATAAACGTGTTATTGTAATTTTAATAATATTATTGGTTTTTAAAGTTTTAAAACATAAAATTCATTGAAATTTTTCGAGTATAATGTCAGCGGAACGTCATATTTGCTTTCAGGTTAGGGGGGCACGTGACCTCTAGCAGATAATGATGTACAGATTTTATGGTAGGAAAGCAATATACATCTATTATTATGAAATCAACAATATTGTAACAATGTCTTCGTTTGAGTGTTTCAACCCCTGCTTTTGGACGAATTCTGGCACCAACACTTAATTTTTTTTCCAAGCAAGTCTGCATATTTTTTTTTAACTCTAACAAAATTATATTTATGACACAATGGAAATTAACTTTTTATTATTGAGAAAAAAGTAATTTTATTTCAATTGAAAGCATGATTTTTTGGGTGTAGTGAATCATCTTCAATCAGAGGAAAAAGTTTTCTATAATTCGAAGTTCAGATCAGTTATTGTATTCCTTTACACTGAGATAAATTATGGTCAAGACTACCAGAATATGGTAAAATTTACCTTGTTTTGGGGTCTATGAGAACATTAAAAAGCACGGTAGTTTTTACTAAAGAGCTTTAATCATGACTTTTTGGAAAATTAATTATAAAATATGTTTTTTTTACCATGCTCTGTTTGGTATTTAATGAGGTAAAGTTTGATAATTTTATCATAATACCTTAGAGCATAACATGCAAACTATTTATATAGTTGAATTTACTTTTCAGGTTGTATTTTTACTAAATGGGTGGTCATAAAAACTATAATTCTAAAAACCAGAATTTCTGGCTAACTCTTACCGCACTGACAGAAAAATTACCAAATAAATGTTTTTAATACCGTATATTTTAGTTTTATTACCATAATTATGTTTTTTTTTTTTTTTTACCAGAAATTTTATTACCATTCAAGTAGGGTAAGTATTTTTTCTCCGTGAGTTTGAAATTTTCTTATAACAATACTAATTAATGTTATGCAAGGATATTTTATTCTTAATGATTTCAACAAAAATTATAGCCAATATCGTACGATAGTGTGATTTTAATGATTTTTTCAAGAATTAAGTATTTTTGTTTAGATCAAAAGGTTTCCTTTACTTTGATATTTAAGTATGATATTATCTTCATTTTGTTCAAAACAGGTTTTTTTGCTTACCTTATTGTTTTATTATAATTGAATGTTTCAAAAATATCTACTAAGTTTTGTTGAATTTCTGAAAATGCCTACTTATGTTTTTTTTTACTATTAATAAATATTAATATTATTTAAGTACCAATTAAATGCAATTCTTAGAGCCACAGCTGTTTTTTTTTTCATCAAAAAATTTCTTTTTGATAAAAATCTTAAACTATGTATAACTTAACTAATTCACTACGAGATCAAAGAAACCAAGAAAAATCATTTCTAAAATTAGGATTCTCATTGAGTTCGATTAGGCTAAAATATTTTGAAATAGAAAAACATTGTGCGCAAAATTAAATTAAAAACAGTTTACTTCTTCATAATGCTTGGTTGAAATAACGTTTCAGTTTTTTATAAATGAACATTGGCAATTATTGAATATTTAACAGGCATGAAATGAAATACATTATACCTAACATCTTATGATACCAGAAAAGCTTTCAATTCCTTGTCAAACTCCATGTCTTAGGTTGTCCTTGGTGTGCCTTACAGTTTCTGTATTTTTAAAAAATTTGGTCAAAATCGTACAACCAAACAAATGAGCAACAATAGGTATGAGATCTATGCAATTGTTTGCATAGAAAAAATTTTAGTTATTGTAATATTGTGTTTCATAACAAAACGTAGGAGGGACTATAAATAGTTTTTCTACGTTGTTTATTTATTTACAACTTTTTTTAATAAATTTAATTAAAGAAATATTTTTATATCCTTTCTAAAGGGATGATTTTTTCCACAAAAAGGCAAATACCTAATCAGCATAAATGTTGAGTAATATTTTAGTAAGTCTCACGAAACCTTTGAAAACACATTTATTCCGTGCATTGATTAATAGGAAAAAATTGCAAGATTTTTCCGTAACTTAACTCTCATTTTAAGTTATACTTGGATTTTTAATTTCTTATAATATCGATTTTAACCCAATAATTGTACTTTATAGGTTTTCATGGACGTAGACTATGTCCACAGGTTTCGAGAGCCGCCATTCACCCCACCCTTGGCTCACAGAAAAACTACAGGCATTCTCATAGCAGTACCGTTTGTTGTTTGCTTCACAATCTTTGGAACCTTCAATCTCGTTGGTGGAACAGTTTTGACTATCATGGCATGCTCATCACAGCTTACACCAAAGGCAAAAGCAATGATACAGAGACTTGTACGTCGAGCAAACATTAAACTACAACCCCAAATCAATCCCATGCAAGTTGTTGGCATCATTCTGCTTCTAACAGGCTCTCTTTTGGTCATCATTGGTCTAGCTTTGGGTGTTATAGCTTGTAGGTCTGTCGATGAACACGAACGTCGAAGGAACGAGCGACTAGGTCTCTCTCACTCCGGAATTCCACTTTTCAGCTTAGCTGAACGAAGCAGCCGCCAAGCTTTATCGCTTTGTTCGACATCAATGGGTTCAAATCGGAGTCGTAATGGCAAAAGATCTTTGGTATCGGAAAAAACTGTCTCGCCAATATTGGAAGTGACAAGTGAAGAAGAAAATATGGATCAGGAAGAGGCGAAAAAGAAAAGAAAATCAGAAGTCGAATTTATTTTACCCACTTACGACAAAGTTCGTAGATCTAGTAGAGAAGCAGAAATTGACTCAAAGGTTGAGCTTTTGTCTGAGATGAATTTAGCCTCTTCAGAACCCCAGACACCTACGTTCCATCCAACTTCGAACAAATTAAGTGTTGAAGTTCAAGTTGAAACTGAACCGCTGGTGCTAGACCAAAATATTACAGAATCCGATTTATAATGATTAAAAAGTGAGGGAGAATCCTTACATTCATACGTTTTAGTATGAGTAAGTATCGAAGATTTTAACCAATGGTATAAAATGGTACCATTTTAACCCATGGTATTTCGGTGAAAATACGCATTAAGACTTTTCTTTGAACCCATCTGGGTGACATTTACGAGGAAGAGATTCTTGGAAAGCTGAATAATTGAAAATTTGTAAGGTTCAGAAGAATTTCTTTTTAAAAAAAATTCAGGCATTTGATGTAAATGTATCCCAAAACAAAATTTCATGAAACAAAATGTCACGTAGACAAAATTTTTTGAAGGAAGTTATTTCTTCAGCAAAATATCGTTTAAATAAAATATATCAAAAATTAGACCAGTGGTATAAACTATACAATTTTAACCAGTGGTATACTATTTTAACCAGTGGTATAAAATTTCATGAAGCAAAATATCATGCAAATAAAATTTTGGGAAGCAAAATATAGTTTCAATAAAGTATCAGCAAATTAATCAATGATATAAATCATGCCATTTTAACCAATAGTATTTTGGTAAAGATACATATTAAAACTTTAATTTGAAACCAACTGAACAACATTTAAGAAGAATAGATTCTTGGCAAGCTAAATCAATGAAAGTTTTTTGAGTTGAATGCAAGCTGAACTAATGAAATCTAAACTAATGAAAGTTTTCGATCTCGATGTATCACAAAATAAAATTTCATGAAACAAAATATCACGCAAATAAAATTTCGTGTAACAAAATATTTCTTTGACAAAATATCGGTTAAATAAAGTAACAAAAATTGACGTGTGTATAAAAATTACAATGTACAAAATATTGGATGGAGGCAGATTGCGATATCCCACTCGTAAAAAATTTCGATTCAAAAATTTTGAGACATTTTAAGTAATGTAGTTTCCCCTTTTTCCTTTTCACCAGATTTTAAAGAAATGTTATTTCTGTAACATTTTGTCTATGCAATATTTTGTCTATGCGATATTTTTTCCTTCGAATAATCAACCCAAAAGTATTTCTGTTTTTATAATTTAGTATTGATAAATAATAACATGTCAACAAAGTAGCAAACAGAAATATTGATCCATATCAGAAAGACAAGCGTCAATAAAATAAGTATTGTAAAAATTTTTGTGGTGCTCTTAATAATACTATTAATATGATATAGATGTTTGATGTTGTGTGTATTGATGTTTGACTTGAATATCAGCAGGACTTATAAATGTTTTATTTCAGAATAATCAAATGGAATCATCAAAATAGCATGAACAACTTCACATAGCATTATAAAAATGTCTACTGCGTATTCGTGAGACAGTTTCTTTATTTGAAATTTCTCTTTTCCATATTTGATACAACTTTGGAAATTTTAAACTAAATCTCCTAAGCAAAAAATGTTTTATTGAACTTTGTAATAAAAAGATTTAAAAAATGTTTGAGTTGATGGAATTTTTCTTTATTTATAGTACTGCAACATTTGTCCGAAGAGCTGAGAGAATGACGATTCTAAGTGATACTTTAATGATATTCTTATTGATTTTCCTGGTGATACTTTAGTGATATGCAAATGATGTTCTTTTTTTAGCTTTAAAATTTATACGGCGCTCGTATTTGTTACTGAATTCAACCTCTGTTTTTTGAATATATGTGAAGGTAAAACACGAAAATTTTATGGGGGTATATTGATTTATTCCTAACTCTCTTAAAATGTATGGAGATATATTCTCGGAATAAAATTTCAGCAGGCTCAACTAGGAGAGAAAAAAAATCACACTTTATTTAGTCTTATTTGTTCGAAAGCCATTAAAAACTATTCGCTGATTCCGCAAATTCAACAGCTGTTTAGTTTGCGTTTAACGGGATTTGACTAAAAAAATTGCAAGAAATTCGCACTTTGTTTTTTACTTTGAACTAGCTATTTTTGGTGAAAATTTGGCGAATGAAGGTACGACTGTGGAAAAATGAATATTTTTTTTTATCAAATTTTATGTAAAAATCTATCTATTAGAGCTGAAGAATACCAAAAATTTTCAACACCTTAAAAAAAGTGACAATTTTGTACGAAAGAAAGATATTTTAAACTAAACAAATTTTTAACTTTCATTAATAACTAAAAATAAAGTTCAAGTGTTTATTTCTATTGTGGTAATTCTCGCGATCATTCAGACATCCTCTGCTTTTATCTTACATCAAAATTTAAGTCGCAACTTTACGAATTTCAATTCTATAAAACTTAAACTCATTCGAACTGTCCATCTTCCAACATTCGCATTCCAAACCCAGTTCCACAATAAAAGCTGCACAAATTTCTGCCTTGCAGACAAAAATTAGTAAATACAAGTATCTAACCACGGACTTTGTAGATAAATCTCAGTATTTTCAATAAGGTTGAAGATCAATTCAAAGTTTTCTGTTATTGGGCTCTTGACTCTATCAAATGAAAGATTTTAGAAGGTTGTTCGAAGACTGTTTGTTGCCAAGCGCACTTTTAACATTATTATATTCCAGAAACAAAGATTATCATTTTGTGCATTCATCCACTCTAACCATAGCAATTGAATAACTTTTCAAAATAAAGTAATAAAATTGCATCATTTAATAAGACTAAAGTAAAAGTTTTCCCCAAGCAATCGCATATTTTATAATGTCACTTAAGCATCTTCATTTACTAAGCCTTCCTGCATGAGGATACGTGCATGTAATGTCCACATAGGATCGAATTCTGATGGTAGAAATTTTTTAAATTTTGATGCACGTTCTGGTAATACACGTTCAGTTTTGGGAGAAAAAATTTTGTTTATATTACACAAGTAACAGAAATGGTTTACTTGAAATCTTATCTGAAGTAGGGTAAAATAACCAGTGAAGGAACATTTCATATATATTGATTAAAAATAAGAATTTGAAAGTTTTTCTTTAGATTGATTGGTAACAATAGCTTACTGCCAAACAATAGGAAGTCATCAAGCAATGTTTTGGATTACCTAGTCACATAGGCTTCTCTGGAAAAAATTTTAAATCTGTTATTATCTCTGCAACACCTTGTTTCTTTGAAGGAATTATAAGGTGAGTGTTTGTATTTATATGTTTGAAGTGGAATAAACTGCATGTAATAGTTTTATTTTTCTCACTGCGAAAAAGAGAATTCAAAATATAGCTATTGAAGTTACGTTTTATTTTTTTAGTATCATAGCATAATAAAGTACTGAGATAAGGGGGTGTTTATTCACTGGATCACCAAACGATGAAAAACCAGTGAAGGAACAAGTGTTCCTTTACTGGGTTTTTTTCTAAGTTAATGAAAGTAAAAGATAAACTTCAATTTTCTTGTACCTTTAGTGATGTTCCGCATCAAAAGTATGTTAAAAATACGAAAAACAACTTCTAACCAGTGAGGGAACAGGCATGTTCCTTTACTGGGCATAGATTTCCCAGTGAATGAACAGTATGTGTTAATATGTTGACACCTTAATTTTCAATTGATGATTATAAAAAAAAAGTTTACATTTTCCAAGTATTTATATGTTATAATTTCAAGAATAGGCTTGTTTTTAAATATTGTATCCCTTATAAATTCATAATTAAAAAAGGTGGAAGTAGCGAAGATATTAGACAGAGAATAATCAAAGCAAGAACATGTTTTAAGGGATTACATAAATTTTGGAGAGAGTCAAATATTGAAATAAAGACAAAAATAGTTGTTTACAAAGCTATTGTTAGAGCAGTACTATTATATGGCGCAGAAACCTGGAAACAGACTAAGATCGAAATACAAAAATTAGAAACCTTTCAAAACAAATGTTTAAGATTTATTTTTAAAATTTTCTGGCCTTACAAAGTATCAAATCAAAATCTATTAAAGAAAGCTAAAATAAAAACAATCGAAGATGAAATTAAAAAACGAAGATGGAGCTGGCTCGGACATATCCTTAGAATGCCCAAAGAAAAAATTTCATCTGTTGCGCTTACATGGGCCCCTGATGGTAAAAGAACTAATTGAAGACCCAGACTTACCATCCAGCGCATGTTTTTGGGCGAATTAAAAGAATGTGGAATATCTGGCTGGGAGGAAGCAAGATCTATTGCTAAAGACAGGAGGCGTTGGAGGGATATGCTGGAGGCCTTAAGTGCCCAAGGCACGTAGAGGATAAGTAAGTAAGTAAGTATAAATTCATAAAGAGCATTAAAAAATAACAAAAATTAAGTGTTCCTTTACTGGGTGTTCATTCACTGGTAAGAGCTGTTCCTTCACTTGGTTTTCTTACTACTTGTTATTTGAACCTTCAAAACTTTAAGACAATAATATGTAAGCTCTCTACAATTTTTTTACATAATTTGCAATTAGTAACAAATATGTTGACACTGTATTTAGCTAAAATTATAAATTTTGAAATTAATATGATTTTTTAAAAGGCAAGCGAAGCTTAAGTGTTCCTTCACTGGTTAGCTTACTCTAATCTAGAATAACAAGCATTTTGACATGGATCAACTGCATAGTTTCGCCAACCTAAAGAAACGTAGTGTAAGTACATTACCAAAATTGACAGTATAATCTGCAGAAAATAACAGTTTTTTTCTCAGAAAAACACTGTTTAAAGAAAAATACAGATTTTTTATTTTATTTTTAGCCATTATCGTCGAAATGTAAAACAATTCTCCCATTCTTTTGAACTTTCTTGGCATATTTAACGGTTTAAAGGTGTTTTGCTGACAAAACGGGTTTTTCTGTGACTTCCATCCCAATCATAAGTGCATTAAAACCGTCAGTTCAAACTCTAATTTTTGTCATTCAGGTTTGCATACAGTACTATAACTTAATCTTTCTTCAAATTATTTTACGATTTATTTCTTCAAATCATTTCAATTTAATTATTTTCTGTAAATGATTTCGCGATTAAGAAATGTTACTTTTCAGCAAATATTTTATGTTTTTGTGAATCGCATAAATAAAATAGCGAATCGAAGTCCTTGTCAACATCATACATATTGGATTACTATGTTTCCTTTGAAATGTTTCTTTTCGATCTAATTTTTAGGTAGTTAAATTGCTAGATAATTTTATAAATGTGGATCACTACAGTTTTAAATGTTTTTGCACTTAAATATGATGTAAATAAAACTTTCAAGGTAAAGACAGCTTAAGATTTTTCTTCATAACGAAGACTAGGTCTTCGGTAGCTCAGAGCTTCAGATCGCTCGCCTCCCAAATGAGTTGACCCAGGTTCGAATCCCAGCGTTGGCTGATCATTATTCTGCTCACGACTCTCACCAGCCACAATTATGACATAATATTTTTCTGCTTAAATAACGAAATTTTTTTTAAATATTAATCTTTTTTTTTTTGTTAAAATAACAATTTAATTTTAATAAAAAAGTAATAATTTAATTATAATAACAATTAAATAACAATAAAACATAATACTTATCATAAAAAACAGTTGACGATTTTTAAATAACGGTATTTTTCTGCGAAATAATTGGGCTTATTGGTTTTACTGACATTATTTCATCGTAAATGTAATTTTTTCTTTTTACAGTGCAGGAAAATCTTATTATCAAAGTCTTAACGTTAATACTGATACGTTAAGTAAATATTTCTCATATTATGCAGATTTTATAAAAACAATAACAATTATTATTATTATTTACATTTTAGAAGCTTACACGAATTTATTTGAACTCTTTGGTTTTATTTGAAAATAAATAACTTTTGCGTTGTTACCCCTTGCTCCAAAATGAAAATTTTTTTTGAATATATAGAAGCTCTATGAAATGGTATTAGAGATTAATAAAGATTATTGATGCGTATTCACAAAATTAAAATACTCTCCTCATATAATAATTTACATGCGTATGTATATTCCATTGATATTATACTCACAACTTCAACTGAAAAAACAAATCGAAAAACTTTTAATTTCAGAATCAAGAATTAAGTCAATAAATGTCTTCTCTTCTATTATTCTTTTTTAAATAATAGTTATTTTTCTGTCTGCATGTGTCAACAACTAAAGACTTCTGAATGAAATTAAATTGAATCACTTCTTGAATTTATCGTCTAAAGAAGTGCACAAAAAAGTTAAGAAAATTCTTAATTTCAAATCCTCGTGAATTGAAATGTATTTAAAAAATAAAAAGCAATTTAGAGTGTTTTAACAATACATATTTTCATTAACTTATGGACTGAAAAGTCAGTTTGAAATATGAAGTTAAATTTTAATGAATCGTTACTAAAACTACATCTTGAAAAGCTGGTGATGAATTAAAACTTCAGGTAGTTTCACTTTCACTTTAAAAGACAATTAAACGTCGAAGTTGATGATTTTGAAAGAAAACAAACGACGCG